GTTCCGACACTTCGCATCTACAGTGTGACCCATTTGTTTGTGACTCACCCCTGTAAAATCTTTATTTATTGTGCGATTTTAACCGTAGATGTGTAGATCTTGATAAACTGTATTTTTTGAGGGAAAAAAGTTATTTTTAACAAAATACAAGGCCTACTATGTCAGTTTTTGAAAGTACATTTTTAAGAATTCATATTAGCAATTTTTTTAAACAAAATCTAAGCACCGCACTGGATTCACCACCCCTCAAAACGAACCTATACTAAATTTCATTAAAAAATTTTAAGTAGAAAAATGAACAATATTAATTAAAAAAGACAGAATAAAAATTCTGTCAAGTTATCGATGATAAAAACACTGAAATAAAATTAAACCAATAGTAATATGGTACTATTACTATAAGTTTAATTTTATTTCAATGTTTTTTTCATGGATAAATTGACAGAATAAATTTTTGAGGATATTATTGTGCATTTTTATACTTAAAATTTTTCAATAAAATTTAGTAAAGGGTCGTTTTGAGGGGTGGTGAATCCAGTGCCGTGCTTAGATTTTGTTTACAAAAATCGCTAATATGAATTCTTATAAATTTACTCTTAAAAACTGACAGCCTTGTATTTTGTACAAATATGGCGTTTTCTGCTCCAAAAATAAAGTTTATCAAGATCTACACTTTAAAACAAATCCGGTTAAAATCGCACAATAAATAAAGATTTTACAGGGGTGAGTCGCAAACAAATGGATTACACTGTATATGAAATAGGAGTTGCGAAATGCTAATATTCGAATTTCGCATCTACATATGAAACCGCTTTTAGTAAAAGATTAATTTCAATTTTCAGAAATCAAGTAGGTATGCCTTGGAAATATTAAAAAAACTATTTTTTTTTTGTTTAGGTAAAGTGCCTTTCATATGGGATATACGACAAAATAGTATAACAAAAAGTTGTTTAGAATTAACATTTAGGAACCTATACCAAATTTCAAAATTGTTGGCCAACTTTGATTTCTATTTTTATTACCACCTAAATTTTAACAAAAGGTATAAAAACGTTGCCTGAAATAAAAATAATAAAAGACGTAATTTTACCATGGGTGCTTGAATATTAATTGAAAATAAAATAAAAAGGAACATTTGGTTTATTGAAACAGCTTACTGGCTTAAGACTACTAATTTTAAAAATAAGGTTAGAACTTAAATTTAATATCAGCTTCTACAAGGCCTCCTTCTAAATTAACGCATTTTTCAATCCGTTTTCTAAATTCTTTAAAACTTTCTTTTCTGTTTTTTTGGTATATGGACCTAAAATATGATTTTAAAAAACTTTTCTTTATAATATTATGTCGTATATCCCAGATGAGAGGCACTTTACCCAAACAAAAAAATAGTAAAAAAAATAAAAACCAAAATTGGTCAGGTTTTTTGAAATTTGGTAAAGGTTCCTAAATGTTAATTGTAAACAACTTTTTTTATAATATTTTGTCGTATATCCCATATGAAAGGCACTTTACCTACACAAAAAATGTTTTTTTTAAATATTTTCAAAATTGAAATTATGTTGAAAATTAATCTTTTATCAAGTAGGACTGAACCCCTGAAATTAAAATTGTTTAACCTATCTGGGGACACACTGTATAGGGGAGAGTTTTTTGCCTGGGTCTCTTAAAAATGTAATTATTTCTAATTTCAAAGTTTCAGGTAATAGTGTTGAAAACGCAAAGAGATAAATATGTGCACTTTAAACCGTAAGATGGGTGTGTTACGAATTTTTGAAAATTTACGGGGAGCATTTGGACACTATAAAAATATTATAAATTTAGGAATTTTATTGAAAAAATCAGTGCAAAACTTATACAATACTAAATTGCGACAAATCAAAATTAAAGTAAATCATGTTATGGAATCGAACTCCGTCAGTGGGGGGGAAGAACCAATACCACGTCCTTAAAATCCACCAAGGCTTCATCTTCATCTGTTTCTTTAAATCTGTATGAAGGAATTTGACTGTATATCCTCGGTTTAATTTTTGCAATATTCTGCTAACGAAGTGCCGGGACAATTTTTATACAATAGAGGAACACTCTAGACAGTGTGTCCCCGCAAACAGAAAAGCGTAAAAAACACGTGACATTTTGGTAATATTTCAACCAAAAGACGTGTTTTTTTTACGTATATAATACGTATACAACGTTGGAATGTCACATTTTAATGACGTATTTTGTGGACGTATTTAAAACGTGTTAGTTAGACGTCCCACTTAACGTGGTTAAGACGATTCTTAAAGACATCTCTAATACGTCTATACTAGAGGTGGCAAGTTTGATTCCGATTCGTTCAAAAAGAACGAATCATTTAAATGAACCGAATGAATCGAACAAAGTTTCTAAAAAAATCAATTCTTTTTCTTGAATTAAATGCTAGGTTCGGATCACGTCCTTCGGCAAAATTTCGGTGATATTTCTAGGGATATTTCAGGGAAATATCAAAATAGTCTTTTGATTCAAAAGTTTCCAATACAAACTACTTGTATTTTGTTTTTTTATGTAAGCTGTGATGTTATTGCACCGGAAAAGCCATAGGTTAATTTACACGTAAGCAAAATAAAAATCGAATCCAATAATTTAATAATACAACCAATACAAGTCATCATTACAAATGATTCAAGAATCAAGTCATTAATTCGGCTGAATTGTTCGTTAATTATCTGTTCCTAAACCAGAAAGTGAATCAGTCGCGAACGAATCTTTATGAACGAATCATTTTAAAAGAATGAATTAAAAGAATTGATTCACCAAAAAGAATCGAACTTCCCACCTCTAGTCTATACGTCCATTTTAGACGTCTTTAAGGCGCAAAATGGACGTGTTTTGGTTGTTAAGTAATTGCTGTTTAACATTAAATGTTATTAAAGCTTTTGCTAAAAGTAAGTAGTGGGGCACACTGCTTACTTTTCGCAGAGTGGGCCACAGGACCAGCTGTGTCCCTTCAAAACTTACAAGCAGAAGCGGTATGGTCAGTAATTTTGCCTTAGTAAGAAATTCTTACTTGGCAGCTTAAGGCATTCCACCTTTATAGGACAGAGGCGAGAGGTATGTATGCATGGGTTGCCTACATATTGGCGAATTTTGAAACATTTTGATGACGTCGCATATTCGTCTGATTCTGGTATGAAATAAGTGGTCAGATAATGGCGAGAAATATACGTCATTTTTACGTTTTATTTTTACATTTATTTTTACTTCTTAAACATCGTTTGTCATTTTCTGTTTGCTGGGTAGTTAGGTACATATTTCGTCTAAATTTTACGTGCATCAAACGTATTTTTAAAACTTCTCAGAATTCCTGTGGTAAGTACCTTCTTGATTTCGACTGAAAGAACTGTATGTGAAGTTTTTTATGTTTATGTAATATTTTTAACAACTATAAAATTTTCATTTTTGATAAAACATTCGTTTTTTTAAAACGTTTATTTCACGTCAATATTCTGTTACTTTAAAACTCGTTAAATAACAACCAAAATGCGACGTGAATAACACGAGTTGGTTACAGCTCTGTTTGCTGGGGTCCAAACTCTTCCTACATGATGTGGAACAAAAAAAACTGTTTATAATTTCAAAATATAGCAACGGAATAAAGTAAGGATATAACAAAAGTTCCATGCTTTATACATGCTTTAATATGTAGTAACATTAAATTATTTATCTACAACGGTCTAGGCAGAAAAGCTTACACTGTTCAAAATTTCATGACCATTTTAACACCAAATTAACACCATATATGGTCTATATCGATACAAACCAAAATGGTGTTAAATAGGGTTTGTTGGTCCGGTGTAAATTCAAATACTAAAATAGTGTTAATTTAACTTTCACACAGTATTAAAATAAATTTTATCTACGCCAGTGAGATAAGAACTTCTTATCCCACTCATTTTGAGTGAGATAAGAAGTTCATTAACGCACGCGTTTTCTCTGTTTTTAACCAATCAAATAAAAAAGTCAAAATGTTAAAATGTCAAAATAACCCTAAATTAAGTCTTAGACAAAAATAATTACCGTTTATTTTTTCATTTAGAGGCGTAGATAAAAATTTTTTACAATATACGTGTGCACTCGTTGGGCAAATTTCGCATGCGTACGTTAATAAAGCTCTTATAAGAGTAATTTACGATATAAGTGGGATATATCCCACTTATATCGTAAATTACTATTACCTGGTGTAAATTGAACTCCTTTTCAGTGTTAAATATTATGTGTTTGTGGTCAAATTAAATCATACTACACAGAAAAAAGGAAAAAAAAGGAAACAGGAAGTTCCCTGACGCATTACTAGTATATTACCAGTGGTATTATTCCAGAAAATGGAACCTTCAACTCGCTAGAGATAATGTTTTTAGTTCGTTCCACTAACTTAAAATACTTCAAGTATTGACAGCTGTTTCCACCTATTTAAGGTCTAGTATCGAACAACTTGTAGTGTCACACCAAAGCAAAGGACTACCTGAGCTTATATATTCTTCATGTAAGTCAACAGAGGCTAGATTTAAGAACATCACGTGATCCACAAAAAAATAAATACTTATGGGTCAACTAAATTAATATAGTTAAATGAACTATTCCTTTTTTTCTGTGTAGGTGCACTTCTCAAATATTTTTAGATAAACACCGTTTTGGTGTTCATTTTCAACCATAATTCATGGTGTTATATTAACACCACTTGGTGTTGGATTTTGACACCATTTTAGGATTAATCTTTACACCACAGATATTTTAAACAGTGTACAAGGGGAAAGTAAAATATTACATGAAAAAACTCGAAAATAAACTTAAGATAAACTCAAACTTATTTCACTACCACTATTTGATACCTTACCAACTTGATGATCTGTAATAGTAGTACCAACCTGAAATTTTTATTAAGTGTTCATTGTCTCCCAGTGTTCAGACCCTCTCCACTCTCCCCTAACTATTACTTATCATAAAACACATTTTTGTTTCAGAATCATTTGGAACGCATAATAGAACGTCCAGGCAAAACGGTGCAGCGCCATGCGCCTCTGAATCGCGTCGAGAGCGGCACAGTAAACGTGGAAGACATGCGCGAGAGCGGCATGCGCAAACCCACTTCCTTCACGACAATCTTCGAGCTGCGCGAGGGCGGCACCAAAACTCTGGTGTCGCGTCCGTCGTGCTTCGACTTGGCCTGTTCCACGCTGGCGCAGATCGCAGGCTACGCGGCGTCGACGGGTCAAATTTTGAATATCGGAGACGTGAAGGCATGGCTAACGCAGAAACATAGCGAAGGGGATGCGGAGTCCGCAAGGACGATACTGTGCATGCCGATCATTAATGGACAAAGGACGTTAATTGGTGAGTTTTCACACAGAGCCGTAACAAGTTTTTCTGGCGCCACACAAAAGAATAGATATAACTCAACGTAATAATTATTGCGTTGTAATGAACTTTGTTTGTTATATAGAACATTGTTTGTTAAATAAAACATTTAAGGTTGTCCGGGCATGAGTTTTAGTGTTTCGATCGTGGTATAACTGTGTCCCATCCTACAGCATTACATTTAAAATCCGTTGCCAACTACTTGGAACCAAAATTCATATGGGTATAAATTCCATTTTTAGGCGTTTTTTTATTATTTTGCAACGTAATTGCATTGTCAGTTCATGAGGCGTTGTTATAGTGTATGTAAATGAATAAAAATCTATAACATCGCTTTTAAAAATTTCGCCAAAAACAGTCGCAACGCTTGGAAACGTCGTATTCGCTGTCTCTTTCACCGCTTGCTACATACGTTCTCACTCACACCTATGTAGCACCGGGCGATAGCGTTCCTATCTGACGTCAGCGACGTTGCCACGAATCTCCAGTGCAAGCGTAAAATTTCGTGAATTCACCGATTTAATCCAATACAACTTTTTTCCTACCGACATTATCATTATGAAACTTCGCATATCATGTTTTGAAATTACGCTCCACGATATACTCTTTTTCCATTGCAATCCTATCATTACCAATAATTATTTCGTAGGAGAAAAGAGTAACAATCCACGTCCTGCCATAAGAACCCGAGTATTTTTACTCAACATTGAAATGTATTTACTCGGCTCCCAACGACAAGAATTTTTGTTAAATTAAACAGGATGATGTGAAGCATCAAAAAGAATTTATTTGTAAATTTTTGTCAAATTCTTTCATTTGACATTCACTCCAGGACAACCTTAAGTACATTGATTTAGAAATAAAATAGCATGTATGTGCACTTTGGTAAAAACAATTTTACCCCATGTTTTTGTATATTTTTTTAGGCTGTGAAAAATATTTTTTTTTTACGTAGAACAAAATATTTAAAACTAGGGCACGCCGTTTTAGCATTTATTAGATAATAGTTTGAAGATAAAAGTTTAGCACATTAATGACGTTTTAACAGAAATTTACAAAGTAATTTTTTTTTAAACTCAAACATATTCACATTACATTTAAATGTAAGTCGATAATTTTTAATTTACAAAGTGTAAACGTGGCTTTAGCTGACTGTTAAAAATGTATCAAATTAAATTTGTTAAAAATAACAAGTTTTGGTTTAAATTTGTAGTAATTTTAATTATAGTCGATAACTTTTTAATTCAAGAATTACCACTTTAACATTTAAAACTAACATTTAAATGTAATGTGAGAATTTTTGTATTGAAAATTTATGGACTATCATTTTAATTAAATTTAAACCAATAATTTTGTAGAATAAAATATAGTACAAGTACAATTTTTAAAAACAACTTAAACTTTTACATTTGCATTTTATATTTAAAATGATTAATTTTTGATTATCAATTGTATTAAAATAAAAAAAATTAACTTTTTAAACTATTTCGGTAGAATGCAATTTCAAACGTGTTTCAGACTATACTTTTTCAACGATTTCCAAAAAATACCACTGAAAAATAATTTAATTGGGAAAAGGTGAGGTTGGATGGGTATAAAACTTGTTAGATATTAAACACAGAGATGTCGCCACCAGTATTTATTCCGTCATCCGATCTGCCATTCATTCTGTAAAACAGTATTGTGCAAATTAATGTGAACACAAATAGATATACGTTAAATATTATTTATTGAAATAAAAAATACAAACAGTACCAGTTTATAAATATTTTGGTATTATTTATCAGCAAGGACCGGATTTTAGGCAAAATGCCTTTTTGTTTCTATTTTAGGCTTTAGTTTGGGACCATGAAATTAATCCTAAACTTAAAAAATAAAGCGTTTGACACCCCTTTGTTTCTGCCAAAAAGCCTAAAATGGCGAAATTTTGATTTATTGTCCTAAAAGGACATTTTTATGAGCCTAAAATAGGCTCTTTTAATTTTTCAGTAAAAAATATATTTTTCATTGCGGAAAAGTAAAATTATTTTTAATTAGACCCTGCTTTCATGCTCTTATTTCGCCTAGACAAAACTACTGAAAACCTAATAAACAAGTAATTGTGTTTTTGCTATCTAAATATTTATTATAAACAATTACGGATAATATTAAGTTTGTAAAATTATTATTAACTTTGTTTTACTGTAATTTCCATATATGTATTACCTACATATATGGTAAATTCAGACTTTTTAACAGTTTTTAGTAATCATATACTTACAGGGCCGTACCGAGGCTCACTATTTTGGGGGGGTGGAGACGATAAAAAAACCAACTTATTTTTTTATCGATACTTTAGTAGTAATAGTAAAAATCTTCAGTAGTTTTATCATGTATGTAAAGTGCTGTAAAGTGTAGATAAAGAATGTCTTTACCTACAATTAGCAGTGCTAATTTAGCATGCTCTTTCGAAGTCGATGGGATTGATTCTCGTTCTCTATTTTTTTTGACTTGCTGCCAATGTAAATGGATTATCCGGAACAGCAACAATTTTAATTTTAACCAAATTTCCACCGTGAATATTTTTCTCATGCATTTTTTTCTAGTCCTTGTTAAACACAGATCCACATAGTGAGCATTTTACTAGAACTCGGCCAGGTCTAGCTTTCTTTTCATATTAAAAAAAAATTAATTCCTATTTATTGACACTAGTTTTACTTAGCTTAGGTAAGCTTTAACTAAATAATAATCTAGAAAAATAAGACGCCGAAAATTGCGGTGCGTAAAAAGAGTCAAACGCCGCCAAAGCCAAAGACAAAGCCGCGAGGCGGTGCCGACTTTGCACATGCCGCTTGTATGAATATATTGTCCCTTAATAAAATATGGTTGACCAATACAATTTTCTTCGCGGTAACGATTATAGGAAGTTACAATAGATAAAAAATTATAATTTTGTAATATAGTTTAAAAATTATATTTCATTTTGATGATGGGTTGGTTGGTAGGGTAGGTATACCCAACCAACCGAACCAAATACTATAGATTTTGCCAACCGTGTTTGGATTTGGAACCAACTGCCAAGACTTTGGGGGGGGTGACTCCCCCCCCCTACACCCCCCTTAGGCCCGGCCCTGTATACTTACAACACGTGTGGTAAGTATATGTTAGTAATATAATTTGTCGCCATCTATGGCATAATTAAATAACTCTCCACAATTTACAGGTGGTAAATAAATTTTCTATAATAAAAGACAATAGATGACTAAAGCCAACTTTGACAACCGTTGGAATCAACGTATCGTGCTTTTGTTTGTATTTGTTTATATTTTTTGTTCAGCGTCGCAAAAGATTTGCTTTAAATTTTAGAAGTAAGGTTTTCCTTTTCTTTATTCATACGGGCAATTGTTTGCAAGAGTTTGTGTTATTATTTTTATTATGTATTTTATATTAAGAGATAGGTACAGGGTAATCCATTATACGAGTATATGTCCACCCCCTATAACTTTTTTCCTTTAGATTTTAGAAAAAAAAGTTTTATATAAAAGTTGTAGGGTTCAGCTAAAATTTTTTTTTCGTGTTATGTTTACGTATACAGGGGGATCCAAAAAAAACAGATAAAAACATATTTTTTTCCTATGGAATGACCTATATTTTATATCCTTATGTGATAGCTCTTTAAACGCTGATTTCAAAAATATATATGACATTAGAGTTATTTTTTATACTTAAAACAGAAAATGCCAAAAACTAAAATTTCACTTTGCAAGCCATGGGACGCCATTAATCGTTCCATTGTTTATTTAGTTCTTACTATGACAGTTCTGGCGTCTTAATTAAGCAAGTTTGATGAGTGTGTAATTATTGTAAGGCGGTTAAACGTATTTATACATCACTTTGGAGAAATAAATACTTAAAAAGAAGAAAAAGGCAAATCATTCCAAACCTGGATGAAGAATTAGACGTCTGTTTATATTATATTGGTAACATATATTTTGAATTTTTTAACTTTGTCCGTTTGTCATAATACGACCACCACTAAAATATGGAAGAGTCTTTTTTTATTGGTAATAAATTATTGCGTTATAAATACTTGAGTATTTCAAAAATCGCTGCTCATTGAGACGACCATTGTTTTTTGCTGGCAACGAATCAGGGTGTCTCCAAAAAAGTTTATTGAGGACCAAGATGGAGTTTTTAAAATACCGAATAATATTTTCCAGATTTTACGGCCTTGCTGGATTTTTTTCTAGTAATAATTATAGTATATTTTTCAGAGAACCCTTTAAATTCCATACGTGATGGAGTTCGCGATTTGCATAAAAGTTTTGGAAAAATCTGGAGAATTTTAAAGAAAAACAAGTGGCATCCTTTTAAAATGATGAAAGTGCGGCACCTCACGGAGGAAAATAAGGCACAAAGACTAATATTTTGTAGGCTTATGTTAGAAAGACTAGAAATCGACCCTCTATTTTTTCATAAAATTTTATGGACTTACGAATCTTCTTTTACAACAGCAGGCGTACCAAACAGAAAAAATTTACACTATCTACAGAAAATCCAGAAAAATATTTTGAAGTGAAACGTTCTGGGCGTCGTTCTTTTAATGCTTGGTGTGGAATTAAAAAGAACAAAATTGTAGGCCCTATATTTTATGAAGGTGCATTATCAGGTGATAGATAAGGATTATATCAGAAGATGTAGAAGAGTTTATAGATAATATGTCACTGAATGAAGCTACCGAAATTATTTGGCAACAAGATGGAGCACCTCCACATAATGTTGCTCGAGTAACGGACTATCTCAACAATAAATATAGAAAATGGATTTGAAGACACGGAACAACGATATGGCCAGCTAATAGTCCAGACCTTACGGTTCTAGATACTTTTTTATGGGGTCATTTCAAAAATTAAATTTATTTTACTAGGCAAGAAAACATTAACATAATAAAAAAAGGAATTAGGACTGAAATAAATAATATAAATACCAATCATTCT